GGACATTGGTACTTCGAGATGGGAGTCTGCCAACCTCCTCATTTGCTGGCAAATAATAAACTTCCCTTTTCTTCTCTCCAAACCATTTGTCCTTGTTCTTCTGATGTGGCCTTGACACAAGTGCCAAACTTTCTGTAACAGAATTAAGTGTCCCTGGGTGGGCCCATTGGGACCCCAGCGGAATGGCACCCCACAACTGCTGGAAGAGGCAGGGAGTAGCCCCAGGTAAAAGCTGTGGGTCTTTTCAGGTAGGAACAACTTCTTTTTAAGGTAAGAAAACAGAGAAGCTCCTAAATTTCACTAGGTTTTAGGGTATTCACTTTTCTTTTCTGTAATGCTCCTATGCAATAATAAATTTTTATACTTTTTCTCCTGTTAATTCATCTATTGTCAGTTTATTTCATAGGCTCAGTATCTAGCTCTCAGAAAGTAGAGGAAAAGTCTCCTCTCTTTTAAATAGCATTTCTATCTACAAATCAGAGGTTACAAACAAAGGCCTCCCAAATTTAAACAAGTAATGGAAATGAGTGAAGCTGTCCAGACAGACCAAAGTGCATTGGAGGATGACTGCTGGCTTCGGGGTCCAGAAGAGGAAGAAGTTGCTACTGTGAAATCATTTTGGAATATGGACCCAGTGTTATTAGCTGTACTGATTTTTAAAGAAGATAGAAATCCCAATTTTTTAATATGAAATAGATAACTGAAGGAAATTAGAAATATTTTACCCTAAAATACATTTCTTTGACATATTTTGAGATAACTGTTATGGGTCTCACAGATAGGAGTACACTGAAAAACTGTCTTTTGTGGGAGGAAATTTGCATCTGTAAAGAATCTCCATTAATTCATTCAGGTCTTTTTTTATCCAATCCAGGAAAGAGTAACTGAGAGTCTGACACCTTTAAAGGTCTGAAAAGAAACATTTACCATCTAATCTCTCTGAGGGCTGCTACCTGTGAAACTTTACATAACAGGACCACCTTTGCTAGCCAAGCTTCCTTTCTCCTGCCTATAACCTGTCTTGCCACCAAACACCTGTTTGGCTATGATCCAAGCCCCCATTTTGAAAAAACCTCTGTACCTCATTGAGGAGTTGAATTTTCATTCCAAAGGCTCCTGTGTTTACACATTAAAATAAAAATTTGTATGCCTTTTTCTCCAATTAATCAATCTACCTCATGCCAGTGATTTTTTAGAGAACCTTTATGGGGCCAAGGGCCTTGGTCTCTACATAACTAATCAGTATGGCCTGAGTGTTTGTGTCTCTCCCTTAAAAGTCATATGTTGAAATCCTAATCCTCAAAGCGCAGGTATTAGGAGGTGGGGCCTTTGTGAGTTAATGAGGTCACTAGGGTGGGGCCTTCCTGAATTGGATTAATGCCCTTACAAAAGAGATCTCAGAGAGCTAGATTGCCCTTCCACCATGTAAGTATATAGTGAGAAGACAGTGTAAGGTTGAGGAAAATGCTCCCCCTCCACCCTTTAAAGGTTCCCTGAAAAATCAACTCACAAAAGGAGGTTAACAGGAGAAATGGCATACAAATTTATTAACATACACATGGGGGAGAGCCAGAAAGTGATTATCCCCAACCCCTTAATGGGGTACTGAAGCTTATACACCATCTCGAGGCTAAAGAAAGAAGAGAGGCTCGAAGCATGGCCAAAACAGGCTATGGTAGCAAATCAGTTTACAGTGGCAAGACAGGTTATGGGAGGGAGAGAAGAGGAGACTTGGCTAGCAAACGTGGTCTAGTAATATAAATGAAACCTCACAGGTAGCAGCTCTCAAAGAGAATAGGTAGCAAATGTTTCTTTCAGACCATTACAGGTGTCAGATACTCGGTTAACCTTTCCTAGATCAGAGAAGGGAAGACCCTCAGAGAAAGCCTGACTGCATCAATGTAGATTTTCTCTGCAGATACAAATCTCCCCAACAAAAGACAGCTTTTCAGGGCTACTTCTGTTTGCTGGCTCTCTGAACAATCATCTGAAAATATGCCAAAGTATATTTTGGGGTAAAATATTTTGATTTCCTTCAATAGCCATTTATGAGGAAGCAGGCCCTCACCAGACACTGAATCTGCCAGTACCTTGATCTTGGACTTCTCAGGCTCTAGACTTGTAAGAAATAAAGTTATAAGCCACCAAGTTTATGATATTTTTGTTATTTTGTTATTTTTGTTAGCCCAAATAGACTAAAACACCAATCCACGGACACACAAAACAACTGAACACGACCCACAGCCCTCCAGTTTATGACTTCTGTCTCTGATAATTGCTCTGCCCTGGCTCTGAAAGTATCACTGTCACAGTCTTAAGTGCCTTACTTGCAACTAAGAGAGGAGAGGCAGTGACACAAATTACTGTTGAAAAATTAATGATGGAAAACTTTGATAACCACATCAATGCACTACAAAAGTAACCCACCCTAAGCAATACTGGGAGACATTCTGTCTAGGTCTCTCATGTTTAGAGACATTGACAGCCTTTGTTTCGGATAATCTGTTCAACAATGTTTATATAGCAAACAACCATAAAAGATAGATACAGAGGCCCCCTCTAGAGCAATAGCTAGATATGCTAACTTCTCCACTCCCACTGCTTCACTTGATCAGTCTAAAAAAAAATAAAATAAAATAGATATGCTAATTGTCCATTATGAAATACTCACATTTTATAAGCTCATGGTTTCTCTCCAGGAACTAAATCTATATCCCTGTCTCAGGCCAGTGGTAGAGAGGGGCAGGGGTGTGTCCTTTGTTCTTTGTGCAACAGGAGATGGCTCAAGAGAATTGTCCCGACAGAGGTCACGAGATTATGTTAGCTAAGACATATCTACCTTCTATGGTTGTTTGCTATACTGCAGGTACAGTAATGCAGCCTACTGTACTATTTGTGTCATTCTGTGAGAATTGTGGCTCAGGGAATCAGTAAAGATGCTAATATTCTAGTTATTGTGATTGCTTTGAGTAATAAAGTCCTTGGTCTCTGACGCAAGAGTTTCATGTCTTCTGCTAGCATGCATAGCACAGAGGCGGACTAACATATTAAGTTGGAAATACAATAAAATCTGAGATAATTCATAGTGTTTGAAACCTGACATTAGTTTTTTTCTTATACTGTAAATTCTAGCTACTGTAGCTGCTCTAAAATGAACAATCTAGTCTTCTTTCATACTGTTTACCACACTTCTCTGAATCAATATATTTCTCTTTTGCTTTTGACAGTACAACATTGCCTTATTTTCTGTCAAAACAGTTATGAACTACTATCATTCCAAATGCCCGAATATTTTTCTATCTCATTATTTTTATTTAATTTTTTCTTTATCTTCACCTTCAGACAATTGCCTAGCGCTTAGCAATAAAACAAAATGACTAACAGGCAGACTGTCAACCTATGTCAAACCTATGGGTTTGAAACTGTTTGGCTACCTGCTTACTGGTTGTGTTACTTTGGACAAGTTATTTAACCAACTCATGCCTCAGTTTCCTTATCTATAAAATGGAGATAATAATAGTAATTAACTCCGAGATATCTGTAAATTAAATGAATTTACACATTTAATGTGCTTAGAATAGTATACAGTATATAGGAAGAATGCAATAGATGTAACCAATTATTATTCAGTTGAATTTTCTTGAAAAATTCAGTTAAGGGCTCACTTTAAATGTAAGTTGTTTGTGATTTATAATCTAACTCTATTGGGAAGCTGAATGATAATTTAGGATTACAAATGTGCTTTCCAATTCAAATCCTCAATAGCTTAGTAAAACATTATTTTCATAGGCTTTGCCTTTTGAAAAAACCAACACCTCATCTCCCAATCTTCTACAAATGATATGAAGGACCAAGCATCAAACTCTCTCCATGTAAATGTACAAATATACTATGAAGTTTAAAACAAAATGTCAAATAACTCTTCCATAGATGACATTGTTCACTCAGGATGCCTAAATATTATCACATAAATATTAGATGTTTTCTTCATGGCCCAAATAAAAAAGTCATTTCACCAAATATTACTTGTCTGAGGCAATGATTCCATTGGTGTTTTCACTTGCTATGGTGTTTCTCTTAATGGCCTCAGATAACATCCCTTGATTTTCTAAGAGCAGTCCTTTCTATTTTTCTAAGCCTATAACAATTAAAATAAACATCCAAAGGGGTAAAGCAAAAGAGGAAAAGCTGCAAAAATCTGATTTGATTTTCCTACGCTTCCCTCCCTCCCTATTTCCAAGTAGCTAATCCCCTCTCAAACAGTACAATAGAACAGCTAGACATAAAGAAAAGGAGATAAAATTGGCTAGCCAGTACATTGTTCTTGCTAATCTGGACCATTTACATAAGGGTTAGAAGGCTTGTTTTATCATTTAAACAGGCTTAAAAGCCTCTTTGCAAATGAGATTTAGTTCCTACAAAGGAATGAATTCTAGCTATTTGGTGAGTTTCTGCTAGACCAGCACCCGGAGCTGATTTGGCAGTGTCTACATGCTACTTCTTTGGCCACAAACAGTATATGCAAAGATTGCTTCCAGCTGCCAAAACTGAACAACATCAAGCTGATTAAATTCTTTCCAGGAGGCGAACAGGATGAGGGGCAGGTTAAGAGGCCAATAATATCAGATCTTAAACTGTACCTGGGCAAACTCTTCCTTTGTGCAGGTGCTTTAAAAGTGACTTTGAACATTCTGAGCCCCTAGAATCTTCCTTTGAAAGGGAACAGAATGGCAGACAGCAAATGAAATTTTGACACAGAGGACATAAAATAGTCTCAAGCTGTGAAGTGAAGACAATCTAAACTCTTTGATGCATTGTTGGTATGAATGACACGGATAAAGGATAAACTGCATAACTGACTCCCTTGCCAATGTTAGAGCAAAAGATCACTAGAAAGAAAAGATTTTCTTAACACAGAGGAGTACAAACTTTGCATCAAAATCTTAGATTTTTAAAATCAAGATTATGTTTATACATACTATACCTATTATGTGTTTTACCTGGCACACCTTGAACAGATGTTCAGTGTGACCTTGGCCTGAGGCTCAGCAGGGTGAGTAGGACGGCCTTGGTTAAATTTGCTCCCAGAAGGTACCAAGGTTGTTACTCCCTCCATTCTTAAATCATTAAGATCCTCTGTAACAACACAAACAATTACAGAGAAAAAATTAACTCTAGTAGAATTATGGAGAAAAGTCCATGTTTTCAGGTATCTGCCAGTAGTTTGTTAAACAAAGCATTATTTTATATTTCCCCTGAGAAAAAAAATCTAACTTCATGTATCAATTATTTTTCAAATTATTTCTAGATATAGTTGGAGACAAATTATATGTGAAGATTTACAGGAGACAAAATGGTAAGAGACTGAATATACAAACAATGAGCTGAACATATATGACAATAGAACATGGTGCATAACCTCTGTTGTAAACATCTGGGGAGGCCAAACCATAACCTCTACGGCAATCAGCCCAAAATGGTCAGGACGGTTGATGACTGCGAGCTTCCCTATTTTTTGCCTTTGCTTCCAACCCAGAACCAACAAGACAAAACCAAATATGTTCTAAAATCAATTACATAAATCCATTTCTAATTAGTCTGTGTCCTGCTTCTCCATCCAACTACCTCCAATCAGAATATACCCAAAGCCTTCTTTTTCACTCTTAACTTTTTCTTTATGCCTTCACCTGAGGAGGACAACAGTATACCTGGATGGTCCTGCCCCAGAGGTTCACTGAATCTCCCTTCTATTTTTCCCAGGTCCTCAATTAAGACTTAAAAGGTCTAAATTTCCCTTGTGATTCAGTTCTGATATAATATGTACATGAATTCTTTCTCTGTTCGGAGAACAAGGGAGCTTGTAAAAATGATCCCAATTACTTGCTCTAAGTCGTAGCAAAAAAAAAAAAAAAGGACATAAAGTTTCAAAAGATATAAATTATAATTTTGCTAAAACGTAACCCATCATTGAGGAATTAATCTACATGAGGAGGAAAATCACTCTCTCCTGATGGACTAAAGACTATAAAAACATCCCAGACCCCTCAAAGGACAATTGAGGGGATTGCTAGGTTTAATTGGATATTACGAGGAGTGTCAAATTTTCCTGAGATGGTGACAACTCTTAGTTTAAGTCGTAAACAAGCCTTCTGTCATCTGAAGAAGACTTGTCAACAGACCCCTTCCATAGGCAATCCCAAGTAAAAGCTCTTTTGTCTCCTTTTGCATAAGCAATCTGGAAAAGCACTTAGGGTTTTAACTCAACTTCATGGGAGTCATCAAAAACTCAACACCTTGACCTGTTTGCCAAGGCTTAGTCCCCTTGTTTCAGAGCAGAGCTGCCATTTCAAAAGTTGGTGCTTCTGCTGAAATAGTTATGGGCTCCCCTCTTGATCCTCTGGTTCCTGATGCAACACAGACATTACTACTGCCTGAGGATACATGACTTTTTAGCCAGCAATTAAATGCTCATGAGATTCTGGTAGTCTCTCCCTCTCACATTACTATTCACCACGGCAGCAGTGGTGAATTTGTTGCCACTCTCTTTCCTGCCCCTGCCAGAAGAAGGGAACCTCACAATTACTTCGGTTACAGAAATTTCTGTGCTTTACTCAGTATTTTTTTTTAAGGACTCTCATTGCAAATCCTGACCCTATATTATTTGTTGATGGATCATACTTCAAAACTTGAAACTGGAGATTATCAAGCAGGATATGCTGTCACTAATTAAAGCTTGCCTGTAAAATATAGCGCTCTACCTTAGGTAAAACCAGCCCACATGGCAGAACTATTGCACTTACTTGGGCTTGTTGACTGGACAAAGACCTCAGAGTAAATATATATATGGTATGCTTTTTTTTAAAAAAAATATGACTTTGAGATGCTTTGGAAACAAAGGATTTCCCAAGTCTGCTGGAACCTCCATAAAAAATAGACAAGAAGTTTAAGACATTTTTAGATATACTCCTACTTCATAAGGAGGTAGCTATTATAGAGATTAAGGCTCATGAAAATACAAATAATATGGAAGCTAAAGGAAATATTCTAGCAGATCATTTTGCCAAACCAGCAGCCTTAACCAAGGTTATGATCCTAAGATTTTAAATAATAAATCCCTGAAGTAATTCAAAGACACTGTTATAAAATATTAACATTTAGCCCCTGACTTTGAAAAGAACAATGGGAAAAAATATGGTTCTAACTTCACCTAGATAATCTCTGGTATTCTTGGTGACACTGAGATAGGGAACAGCATGTCCTGTTTGATAGTCGTAAGTTCTGAACCACGGTCTCTGATAAGACAAGAGACAGTGGAGAAACTGGCCAAAACTAACTAGAACTCAAATGGCCATGAAAAACAACCTCAGGTTACCCTCGCTGCTCATTATACCCCACTTATAATATACTAGCATACTAAAAGAAACTCCCACCAGCACCATGACAGTTTACAAATGCCATGGCAACTCTCAGAAGTTACCCTTATGATTTAGAAAGGCGAGGGACCCTCAGTTTCATAAACTCCCCTCCCTTTTCCCAGAAATCTTATGAATAATCTTCCCTCTGCTTAACATAAAATTAAGTAGAAGGTGTAAAATAAGAGCCCAGAAATTCGCAAGGTTCTACATTCTGTTGCTCTGAAGGATAGCTGCTGCCTATCTATGGGGCAGCCTCCCTTTTTTTCTTTTCTTACTTTAATAAATTTGCTTTTGCTTTACTCGGTTGGCTTGCTCATGAATTCTTTCCTGTGTGAAGCCAAGAACCCACTTGGCTTTCAACCAGACCTCAGTTTGGGTGGGTTCAATTTCCTGTATCAGCACCAGATGGCTCAAAATGGATACTAGCTAAATTTCTCCATAAAATGACTCATCATGGTACAGATAACCTGGTTACTATCTTAAATCAACATGGCTGGGAAAACTTTACAAATGATAGCTGAGATCATTTTTGAGCTATGTGTCACTTGTCAACAACATGGCTCTAAAAAATCTGTAAAGATGGGATATGATCAGGAACCAAATCTTCGTGGGCCTTTTGAATACCTTCCAATGGACTTTATACAGCTTCCACGTTCCACGGGATTTGAATATGTTTTAGTTATCATATGTTTATTTTCAGGTTGGGTTGAAACATCTTGCTGAAAAGCTATAGTCTTTACAGTGCTAAAAAACTGCTTGATTTTGTGTTTCCAACTTTGAGAATAGAAACCTCATATCAAATGGCCAAGGCACACACTTTAAAAAAAATATAAAAGAGCATTACCCCCTACTTGGAAACCATGTTGCCCTTACCACGTACAGTCTTCTGGAAAGATAGAAAGACTCAGTGGCATCCTTGAAACAAAATTAACAAAACTTTCAGAAATACTTGTGTTTCCTTGGTCAAAGGTACTCCCACAAGCCCTTATAGCAATATGGTTCATTCTCTTAGGGACACATTGCTTATTCCCCTGTGAATTGGTAACTGGAAGGTCTATGTGTTTCAGTATTTTACCTATGATACTGTACTCTTCCCTACTGCACACAGACATGGCAAAATATTGCAAGACACTCACATAATACACCCAGTCCTACTACCAAGAGGTTAAGGTCACATTCTTAAAACATCTTCTTAAATAGCCTCTTTATGATATTCAACCATGAGATTTCACCCATTAGAAGATATATCAGAGAAAAACTGCTCTTGACTCTCATTAGAAGGGGTCTTATCAGATACTATTAACAAACACAGAAGTAAAACTCACTGGAGTAAATTCACAACTAAAGAAACAATAGAATTAACAAAATTAGGAGGCTACTCTAATAGGGGACCTCAAAATGGTGATTTTCAGAGATTCTCTAGAAGCAGCTGATCTTTAGGGTAGACAGCTGACCCATGACCTCCAAAGCAAACCGATGACCTCAGATAATAGTTTCTGCCCAAGTTGTTGGATCAATATCCCCATCTAATTCCTATTTTGATTTTCATCTACTTAATCACAATCGTTCTTCTCATTTTCTATAGACCCCTGGTTGTTGCCAACCCACAATGGTCATTTTTCTTTTTTATTTTATTCTTATTAAAATTGTTAGATGAGAGTATAATCATGTTCTAACACTAATTCATATTATCCCAAATAGTAGCCCTGGAACTTACTGATTGCTGGATATGCTATCCCTCACCAGACCACGATGCTAAAAAAACCTTTGGAAAATTCCATGCTTATCAAATGAGACCATAGGGAATTATAGCCAGTGGCATTTCTACTTAAACCTACATGAACAAATGGTCTTAAACAATCAAACTGTGACTTTGCTAGTGTCCCTCTCTCACAGAAAAAGAACCAATTATTATAATCTATTAATTGAACTCTAGGTAATTATAAATTTGAATTCAAGAACCTTTCTAGGATGATGAGCCAATTACTTGCCACCAGGAATAGAATAACAGAAAGTCCAATGTGTAACCCAGCCAATGAAAGGCCTGATTTCAACCTCATGTCATGAACGATTCCTTTTTTTCTGGATCCCCATGTGTTCCTACCAGACAGTACTTCCTTTGCAGCCAGATGGCTAGTACTGCTTGCCTCATACACACACATCTTATGCACTTTAGGAACATTAACACAAGTCTTACCTGTACACAGACACCCTAATTCTAGAGATCATCAAGCCTGGAAATTTCAACTCGGCTATGAGCTGCAAAATGAGGCTACCTTTGATTATTCAGGAACTCTACTTGGAGGAGTTACTGATTCATTGTTTACGCAAACAATCAAAGCCCTTCCAACAACAGAAATCATACAGATGAAAGACTATAAGACGTATTACTATTGCTGCCAGAAATTGTAAATGATACTGCCTCTATCCTACACAGAATACAGATTCACCTCAACTTACTGACAAGAGTAGTGTTGGACAACTGCATGGTTCTGGATTTCTTGTTCACTAGTTCTGGTGATATCCTTGCCATTGCTAATACTCCTTTCCATACTTGGAGCAATTATACAAGTAAGGTAGAAATGTTCATATGTCAGCTTGAGGAAAAAGCTATTTGGTCTTCACGACCTGTGAGACTTGTTCTTTTGGCCTAGGTTGGACAATTCAGTTTCTTGGTTCTGAAGCATCTTAAATGGACTTTTAATTGTTTTTGTTTTTGTC